ATTAAGGCATAAATTGGGAAAAGTTTAAAAAGTCATAATAAAAATGAACATATATATGAGAGAAGAGAGGCTAAAGTTAAGAAGTTTCTTCTGTTCTCCAATTTACAACAAAGAGAAGCTGCATTTTAACCTAGTATTTGCAATCCTCTGATTACTTACTGGCATTCCATTTTGTCAAATCATTGCCAAGAGAATGCACCCAAATCTTGAGTTACAGACCACTCTTGCCTCTGATTGGAAGGAACCTACCAGTTGTTTGAAAAGTATTCCAGATCCAAGGCTACACAAACTGAAGGAGCAGACTTGAGGAAAGGGTTCCAGTTAGGGAAGAGAAGCTTCCTAGACGTTACAATTCTGTCCAGAAGCCAAATGGGAGATAAATCACTGCTGGCCACCTCTCTTATTATTGAAATGGTTCAGCCCTGGGATTTAACTGAAGGGCTAACAGGGTTTTGAAGTGCAAATAGGATGGTGAAGGGTAACTGCTTTTAGGGTTTCATTTTGATGGATTTTTTTCCTGTGTGGATTTCTGGTGCTGTGATCTGGAAGAGGCCCTTAAAAAAAAATAGAAAGAAAAGTTTTGTTTTGTTTTTGATCAGTCAGGCAATAAGAACTTTCCTTGGGAGTGTACTTTTCCTGCATGCATATTGATCTTATTGTGTTTCGAAGTAGATAATTTAATTGTGTTTTTTTTCTGAGCCTTCTGTAATGGAGCTGTCATTTTAAGGTCACATCTCTCTTGGTATTAATGCCAAAGTTTGAGTATTGAACTAAGATGTACTACTTTTGGTTCAGTGGTTTGGGGAGAAATTATTTTGGGCCAGCGTGTGTGAAAGTCTTCCATTAAAGATCAAGTCCATATTAGAACAAACTCATTTATTTGTTTCGTATGCATTGTTTTGCCAATTGCATTGGTTTTTTTAAAAAAAAAAACAACAAAATTCTCAGATTATGAAATATTACACTATTATTTGCAGGGTTAAATGAAGTGTTTGAGGAAATAAGAAAGCCATAAAAATGTTTAAGTAAGAAGAACTACATTGATTTCTGGAGTTAAATTTTTTCTTTTATCCTCCAAATCACAGAATATAAAATACATTTAAATGTTTACATTTGGGGGAAATTTGGATGAGAGGAATCATTAGGAATTCCAAAGAAACATAATTATATCTTAAGGGCATTGTGAACAAGAAACTTTAAGAAAAATTAAAATATCTTTACTACACAATTAAATGCTCATGTTTCCTAGAAATATTGTTGAAGGGAAAGCCCATTTGGCTATTTAGGTGAGACATATTTGCATTACTTTCCCTTTTTTAGAATGATAATGTATTTGCCTGCAACAGAGGCTTACCTCTATCCACTTGATGTCTATTACAGAAACCGGTTGTTAATCTCCATAATTGACATTGATCACACATAGTATTCTTAATTGAACCTCTAGGTTGGTTTTTGCTTTTTAGTTCTTCAGAATTTTCTCTTTACAATATCTAAATGATAGAAATGTTTATTTACTACTTCTGTGTCATGATTTTAAATAAGATGCTTGAAACACAACAAACCCTCAAATTGTAGCTAGCATCAGGCAGAGTCCCTTGCATCTACAGCTTCTCTGTCATTAGTTTTGTTGCTGGGAGATGTTCATATGACCTTTCCTTTGTTAGAAGGGCTCTGCAGCCCTTCCCAGAATCCTTTCGTTAACTGTCTTTTTCAACATAAGTTGGAGGTTGCCTGATGAATGAGTGATGGACATTTTTATGAGCTATACATATTGTTGACATTGTGTCACGTGTAACTTTTTAATTTCTAATGTGTTTAATGTGTTTTTAATTTGCAAAGTATGCATGCGACTTTTCTAGCAGTGGAACTGAGTCAGCATTTCTGAGATGAGATTGCTTTATGCAAACCAAACAGGTCAAACTGAATGCAAGTCTTAGATTTCCTGAAACACACATGGGAATGAATTTCACTTTGAATATTGTTGAATAAAAGATACTTGAAAAAGGCTTCTTTTCCCAAGAACTTCTCTTGCCTCTTGGCAAGTGAATTGCCCCTATATAATAGCGTTGGGGGATGGGGAAGTGAGTTACAGAGTGAAAAGGCAATCCACAAATAATCACTCTTTTCTGCCTTTGATTGTGTCAGATTTTTTTTTGTGTGTGTGGCAATTGTTTTCTTTTTCCCTTAGAAGAGGTTTATGGTCCAATGTCTGTCAAGTCAGCCCCTGTCTTAAGGTTGCAGTTGTATTTCTCTCTGGAGTTCCTGGAGGTGATGTTATCTTTTGTTCACTCAGCAGTGTGGTCGTCCCTGAGAGCATCTGTCACTTTAGGCATTACAAGATGGATGGGTCTCCAGTGAACTGCTGGTTGAAGCAAATGGTGAAAATAAGAAAAGACAAGGGGTTGCAGGGTCTGTGGAGGGGACAGACAACAGGAAACACTGTTAGAAATCAAGAGTAAGCTGAGCAATAGGAGAAGCAAGCAAAGATGGATCAGATGTCATTTTATAAACATCTTGGAAATCAGAATCTTTGGTGATTGTGGTGATCTGAGGGAGACACCTGCATCATGGTAAACAATTCTGTGTTTTGACTTTGTAAAATGTGTTTGGATACTTTTTTAAAAGTCTAGGAAGAGTGTCAGGAGAAGGTTTTGTATGAGAGTTTTGCTTTTTGGGCAATCAGTGATCTTTTCAAGATTAATTAAGAATTGAACGTTTAGATGTTTCTATTGTATTTTCTCCTTTTCTTTTTCTTTTCTTTTCTTTTCCTGTAAGCAGCCAGGCAGTTGTAAATTTTAAAATGTTTGAAAAGTTTGGGCCATGTAACTCACATTTTTACTATGTTCTGAATATTCTTGGTGTTTTTGTGAAATAGTCCTGACCATTCTATACTTATGCTTAAATGAGGCTGGGACAGATTTTAAGTCATTTAAAATAATCTCCAGTTTCATTTAATGAGCTCTTTGGTTTAAAAGAATGTACAATTTTTATTCATCTGACAGAAAAAGTTGGGGATTTGTATTGAATTCATTTTGTTAGCCATGTTCAAAATTTGTAAATGCTGGCTGATACAAAGTATGTCCTGTGTAAGATGAGGACAGGAAAGAAGCCTGGCTGGGAAATAAAGAAAGGCGGGGGGGGGGGGAATGGAGGGTGATGTAATTTTAATAAAAATGACTTTGTCAAACTTTTTGGCATTCATCTACAAAAAAAGATCATAGGTTGAAAGGTAAAGAAATTAAGATGATTAGAAGCTTTAAGCGACACAAATGGTAGAGTATCTTCCTTCTCTATGGGTGTAAATAATAGATGAAAGAGGAAGAGTGACAACAAAGGATCAGGTCGTTTAAGAGAATGTGTGCAGCATGAATGGAGGTCTGTGGCCCAGGGCCAAAGGTCTTAGCTTTGAGTGTAATTAGAAGAAAATACAGAAATGTCATTACTAGCAGGTGAAGTGTGCAGCACGTGGCTAAAAATTAGCAATTTTAGACTCCAAAGCTATTGGAATTGGATTACTGACCTTTAAAAAAAAATCATTAAGGTCCTTGTGGAGTCATATAGTTTTCATTGGCCGTAATGCAGTTTGACCTTGCTGACCATATGGGGTAATCTTGGGTTGGATAAAGGTAGCAATCTCCTGATGTCTATTTGTATGTGTGGGAGTGGGAAAAATATAAGTTTGAAAGTATTGGTCCTGCATTTTTAACTATTATTTTGCCTGAAAATATTCTTGGAAGAATGAGAGAGGTAAGACAAGTGTTTTTATTACAAGAGCTGATGTGGCTCTTTACTCTCTCCCTCTGTCTTTCAACTTGGCCTAAAAAGGAAACTAAAATCAAAACCAATCATTTAGAAAACATGGTGTGTGAACATTACTTCAGATATTTTCATTGCTATAAATATTTGTATTGAAATGAATGCATTCTTAGAAAAATCCTCTTTGTTTTCTTTTTAGACCCAGTAACAAAGAGCAAGATATACTTCTGAGTTATATGTAAACTTTTTAATGAGAAATAATCTTCATTTACTTCCTGACTTACAACTTCATTTCCTATATTTTCATGTAATAGTTTATATTGACCATAATCTACTACACAAAGAGAATAATGGGCACACTATAATTTTCAACCAGTAATATATAATTATAGTTAAATTACTATCTTCTAGGAATACATTTAAAAGGGTTAAGAATAAGCCTGGGAAGTGGCACTGTAGCTCAAGTGATTGAGTGCTAGCCTTGAGTTGAAGACCTCAGGGACAGCGCTGATGCCCAGAGTTCAGGCCCCATGACTGACAAAAACAAAACAAAACAAAAAGAATAAGCCTGGCACTAGTGACTCATGTCTGAAGTCCTGGCTACTTAGGAGGCTAAGGTCGAAGTTCGAAGCTAGCCCGGGCAGGAAAAATCCATCAGACTCTTTATTCCCAATTAACTACTAAAAAGCCAGAAGTAGAGCTGTGGCTCAAGGGATAGAGCCCTAGCTCTTTCCCCACTTTAAGCATCTTTTCTTAAAATTATAAAAGGAACAGTTTCAAGAAATAAAAAAAATCCTATCAGTATTACTTAAGTTTCAATTTTTTACATTTGAGTAATTTTGACCAGATGTCAGGGATTAGAAAATTCCCGAACTCCTTACTAAGAAAGTCATACACTGATTTCATTCCTAAAATTAAAAGTATTCTATAGAATTTTACCATTAGGATAATGCCTGTCAAAAATACAGAGTAGGCAAACTTATTCTTAAGAGCAATAGAAATTACTTTTGAGTATATATAATTAGGATTATTTGGGGAGTATTTAGGAGGGAAGAATATCTGTATATTTGTCTATTGTGATGTATACAGATTTGGTAAAACTTTGTTGATATTTAGATTGTTGTGCTACAGAATGTTTGATTATATATTGTATTATATATAATTAAAATTATATATTTTATTTTTTAATGTTTTTACAGGTGTGAAAAAGCCTTCAGCAAGCTATCACCTAGGCAACTGGCTCCCTGAAGTGTTGACTGATGAACTTAATCATGAACATGACTCAAAAATGTTAATAACTAAACCAAGGTATTGTACAATTATGTATGTCCAACTTCCAGTTTTTCATGATCCGATTTGTTTTAAGGACTTAGATTTAGAATTTAAATGAAGCTACTGTGTTTGGTTCTTAAATTAATTAAACAAACATTTCTATAAACCCCATCCCACTTCCCTAGTCCCACAAAATTTATTCAGCAATAAAATTTCCCCTGTATACCCAAATTATGAGAGCAAAATTTCAGTTTTTGATTTGTCTTTGTTGGAGATTTTTATCTTTCAAATTGTCTAAGACTTCTAGATTGTTTAGAAAAACTCAAACCATACTAGTAACCACATATATTTAAATTTTGTTTCACATATGACTATTCCTGGTGTATATTATAAAGTATTTATTAAAGCTTTTTTTTTTAAATAAGGATTTCAATTTAGAAAAGAAAAAGAAATGATACTGCTTATTTCCCCCTATGGCAAAGAAAATTAAGAGCTTGCATAAAATTGAGAATTTAGTATTACTGTTTTAGATAACACTAGTGTATCAGAAGGGATATAACCCAAGATGTCTCTCTCCTTTTGGAAGTTATAATGTGCTTAAATAGCCTGGCATTTCCAAGGGAGGCCAAAGATCTTTTCCTCTTTTATGGCCTGCTGTATCCTTTTGAGGCCAAAAAGAACAAGAGGGTCATTGCCACTTCAGCCTCGTCTCTGTTTGTTCCTTCAAGCTGACCACGAGGATACCAAAACCCTGTATTGGCTTAACATTTGGGTCTGGAACATCTGGAAAATGGTCAGAGAGGGAGAGGAGGAGGCAGAAGAAAGAGACTGTTGCATTTTGTTTCACCAGGTGCTAGGAGGAAGCAACATTAGCCTTTTTGATATGGAGGCAAATTCTGTGGGCCCTGGAGTTAGGCTTCAACAATTGAAGAGGTCAAAGGACAGCTGAGTGGGGTCAGTAAGACACCATGGGGTGTATTTTGTTACTTAGTAAAAGGAGCAGCCTCCTAAAACCTTAAAGGATTCTCTTGAAAATCTGTGTTGTGAAAAGGTTTTATGAGTCTCATGGCAAAAACTCCTGATTTATCTAAGGAATGCTTGCTTTTGTCTAATGGAAGGATAATCCTTACCAAATGTTGCCAAGGACTATAAGAGTCAATATACGTCTGAAAGAACAGTTTGGGTTTGAAGTGTACTTTGCTTTCCAAAATGTTTATCATTTTAATGTTCTGTCTCAGTGAAGAATTTCATACTGGTGAAATACCACCTTTTCTTTCATTAGAGTAGAAAGAGGGGGGGCAAGAAGAAAGAGGTAAGGAGTGCACCTACATTAATTTAAAATTTATTTTACCTGCTTTTGATCTTACCTAACATAGGATATTATTACTAAATCTTTAAAATATCAAAATTTTGTTAACTCTAAAAAGTTATCTTTGAGTTTAACTTATTTATAAAGGGAAGAAACTGTACATTAAGTATGTTTCTGCCTGACAGTTTTTGAATCCAGGGCCTCATGCACTTATACAATGTACCACTATGCTGCACATCTATCTCTAGCTTTCAGGTTTTTAAATTTGTTGTTGATAGCTGGTAAAAGGGGGTATCAGTTGGTGGTTAGCCTTAAATCTTATGTTTCTTGTCATTTTGTAGTAATAAAAATAATCAATGTCAGTCAAGAATAGATTATTCTATTGTATGGCCAGTTCTAGAGCACTTGAGTAGCATATATGAAACCCTGCTCAGTCCCTAGTATGGGGAGAAAAAAAGCAGCAATATAATAATGTTCTCTTTAAAAAGAAATGGAGAAGGGGGAAAATATCCTCATGCTGTGAAAGCCATTTCTAATAGTACATGACCTCAAGAGACCCACTTACAGGATTATGAATACCTTTGAAAGGTGTTAGCCACCTGGCAGAGAGTGAAAGGGGACAGTGAGAGATTTAGTATCTGTCATTCCAGTTTATACGGTATATACACATACATATATAGGAAGAAATTACAACATGTATAGCAAAGAAAATAGATAAAATTATGAGTGTGTTATAATAGGTTTTATGAAACATTCTCTTACGAAATTATGAATTAATATTATGGTTATGGTTATAGTTAATATATTTATTAACTTTGTATGTATGTTTTTTTTCAATCCTTTTAAAGTGATTACTACTCCTATTATAGGAGCATATTCATAAATGTAAGGCTTAGCATGCAGAGTGCTCTTTTTCTATCCTCTCAAGGTTAAAGCTCTTTTCAACAGCTAATTTAGAAACCTAAGTGTAGTGATGGATAATTGACAAAAGAAAACCTGCAGCTGTTAAGTAGCATTGAAATTGTGGCAAAACTGACAAATGCAATTAACAACATTAATAAGATAAGAAGATGAGAAGACAGGCAGATGACAGAGTGGGAGATGGAGAGCACAGGAGTAACAAACCCATACAAGGACAGAATGTTCAAGTTGCTTTGAATTTCCAGCACTGTTTCTTTTGAGCTCATCTTCTTTCAGTAGCCTCTGAATTATGGCAGAATATGTGTTTCATAAATTGTGTAATTCAGATCCATTTGTAAATCCTCCAACTTATATATGATTCAAAAGAAGCAGCTGTTTGGTGGTAGCATTCAAGAAAAACAATCAAATGTTAGTGATTGTAAAGCCACTTGACTTTCAGTGTTTTGAAAGTCAATTTTAAATGTGCTTCTGATTTACTGTCATTTGTGAGTAGGAATTTCTTTTTCTCTCCTTTCAGCCTTCTAATTTCTTAGTCAGCCACGTGCATTACAAAATGGCCTACCATCACCCAAAACAATACACACACACACACACACACACACACACACACACACTGCCTAGAAGTCTTTAATGTGTTATTACTAATTATGTTTCTCTGATTAATGTCCATGATCCAAGGTCTAAATAATCTTAGGTAATGTAAATGAGAATAGGTAAATAAACCAGGTCAGTGTTCATATGAAAAATATGATTATATTTGCCCTTCCCACTGCACTTTTGAAAGTATCAACTAAAATGTAGAAACTTATTTTAGTAGTTTAATTTTTTGAAAGTTTACTATGTTTAAGAAATTTGTTTTTGCCTCTTGTGCTTTATGCAAATTTTAATGATTATAGTAACAAATCCCCAGAAGTTTATTCTCTGAAATCACAGAGTCTCTGAAATCTCTCTGCAACAGTCCTTGATGAATGTGGCAAGCTGTACTTTGGAAGCATTTCTTGTTATTTAATGTTTTCTGTTCTGGATTATTGACTATTCCCCCCTGTTGAAAAATTGGTCTCTGGTGACATGGTAGAGGTCACACGTTGCCTATTATTGTTTTGGTTCTTTGATCTTACACAGGGATTGCCTCTGGTAATTATACTAGTTCCAGAGAGCTTTGACAAGATGTGTTTATTTTACAGAAGAATTTCTGGCATTTCAAAGAAGAAAATAAAGATTTCCAGTAACCCTGTGTTACAAAAGAAAAAGAACATTGTACCCCATCTTGTAATTAGGAGTTTTAAATAAGTATTATGAAATTATTTGGCATATAATAGTATTAACAAGAGATATTGCTGTCTGTAAGCACATCCATAAAAATTAAATTAAATTATACAGCTAAATTTGTATTTTGGTATCTGAGGTACTTTTAGCATCAGAAGCTGTCAAAACTGATTAATTCCCACCTAAATGTATGGAATGAAGTTGTATAGTAGAAGTTGAAATTTTTATCTTTCAGTATGTTTTCATACTCTAAGGTTTTCAACAAAGAGAATGAAAAAATGAAATAAAACCCATTGTTTTAGATCCATGGTTAGCTTTGTGCAGTTTTGGAATGTGCTTGGAAGATCATATCTCTTCAGACCTGCTTAATATGCAATTGGGTAAGACACATAAAAGCTCCACCTATTCATCTTTTTACTCAACTGTAAGTTTAAAAACAAAAACTAGTTACCAAATATTAAGACTAACTAATATAAATAATTAAAATGCCAGTTTAAAAAGAGTAACTGGGGCTAGGGTACATTTGAGTGCTAGAACACATTCTTAGCATGTACAATCAATCTCAACCCCCTAGTAAATAAATGAAAATAATAAATAAATGCTATAAAAGCACAAGAGAACCCAGGTGTCAATGGCTTAAGGCCTGTAGTCTCCTAGCTGCTCAGGAAGCTGAGATCTGAGGATCACAGTTTGAAGCCAGCCTGGCAGGGAAGTCCATGAGACTCTTTTTTTTTTTTTTGCTTTTTTTTTTCTTATGTGGTGCTGAGGAATCGAACCCAGGGCCTCATGCATGCAAGGCAAGCGCTCTATCACTGAGCCACCTTCCCAGCCCAAGTCCATGAGACTCTTATCTCTGGTTAACCAACAAAAAGCTAGAAGTGGAGCTGTGGCTCAAGTGGTAGAGTTCAAGCCTTGACTGAAAAAGCTAAGGGACAGCACCCAGGCCCTGAATTCAAGCCCCAGGACTAGCTTGTGCACACATACACACACACACACACACACACACACACACACACACACACACAAGCACACACACGCACAAGAAAGAACTATGAATGTGCACTTGTTTGGTCTCCAGTGAGAACTTTTAAGAACAATGTTTGTATAGGAATTACACATTATCACTTTCACCATTGAAAAAAACATTTTTTTCCAGTTCTAGGAATTGAACCTAAGGCCTCATACATGCTAAGCCCATGGTCTGCCACAGTACTCATTGGTGAATAATTTAATGAATAGAAACATGTTATCAGTAATGCATTAACAAGTAGTTTTCTTACACGAAGTCAAAGAATTGTATTGCTGTAAGCAATAGTAACAGTCCACTCTATATATTCATTTTACAGATGAAGAAACTGAGCTTGAGAAAAGTAAAATGACTTGTTCAAAGCTACATTACTAGGGATACAGCCATCTCTGAGTTCTTAGAACTTAAATTTATATCTCCTAGTCATTATATAGACACTAGAGTTCTACTGTCTAATATGATAACCATCTAGCACATGTGGTTACTTAAATTACAATGAAATAAAATTAAAAA